CAACTCCTTCTGGCAGCTGGCTCTCTGGAGGTACTGTAGTGCCAATGCTGAGAGGCCCGTTCATTCCAGGAGAAGCCTGTAATGACACAGCCTTAATGCAGGGACAGCAGCCCCTGCTTTAGCCATCCACACCAAGGGCTGAAGTAGATGATAGGAAGAGGCAGTTATCTTTATACTGTATATGTGTCTGCCCTGCACATACAGCAGGGTGGGATTTAGGGGTCTAGTTTTATTTATTTTATTTATATGCCGCCCACAATACCCAAAGGTCTCTGGGCGGCATATGAATAAAATAAATAAAATAAATAAAAACAGACCCCTAAATCCCACCCTGGTACATGAGAAACACGAACCAACTCTGGCATTACACCAGAAGGAACGTAGGCAGGGGGAAAATGGTTTACTTCACTGGAACTCAGCAACACAAAGCAAGATAGGGGTATCTTTTGTTGTTTTCACTTCCACATTTCTTTTCATGTAAACAATAGACACTCCCTGCTTAATGTAACAATGGTTTCCTTGAGGTATAGGGAGTGCAGAGCAGTTTGTCAGACTACCATCTCCACATTAAACATAACAAATACTATTAGCAGCTCATGAGAGGTTTGGAAAAAGCTATACCCCACTTTGTTGTTTCAATCTACTGTCTCTGTGATCAGGGATGAATCCAGAATCCAAAACACAAAACTGAAGCAGAGCTCTGATCTTCATCTTCCTATCAGTGGAAGAGCCTACTTTTCAGCCCTGTATAAGACTTGTATTGCAGCCAAGATTAATTGGCTCTCATAGACTGCATTATGTGTCAACACTATATTTGCCTCCTCAGTAGCTAGAGTATTCATAAATACTCCATGAAGCCAGATTTTGTTGCCTTTATCAACATTAAGGCCATTTAGAATATTTAAAGAAACATATTTACTCAAAAGCATTCTCTCCTCTATAATTTTCCAGAAATCAAGCATTAGAAAAAATTCCATGGCTAAAGTCCACTCAAACTGAAACGGGGATGTTATTATGGGAGAGGCATTCTATCATTTATTATCCTGGTGGGAAATTAGTAGCTTCATAGCAGATTAGATATGTAAAGGTAACAGTTCCCCTTGACATTTAGTCCAGTCGTATCCAACTCTAGGGTGTGGTGCTCATCCCTGTTTCCAAGCCATAGAGCCAGCGTTTGTCCGAAGACAGTTTCCATGGTCACGTGGCCAGCGTGACTAGACACGGAACGCCATTACCTTCCCACCGTGGTGGTACCTATTTATCTACTTGCATGCTTTTTGAACTGCTAAGTTGGCAGGAGCTGGGACAAGCAGTTTGAATTTGGATTTGATAGGAGACAGTTAATGACAGAACACAGAGCAGTTGGTTATACCTTTGCTTGGAAGATTGTGTCTGAACAAGGTCTAGATTTAATGCTCAACAAATTAATTCCCTGCTTGGTCCCGTAACCCTAATAAATTAAACAGGTGGATCTTACCTCTTTTCTTGTGGATCTACTTGTGAACAAAGAAATTTCATCTATGCTCTTGACATGCAGGTCATTCACGGCCATTATATAGTCCCCTTGATGAAAGATACATCCTAAGTGATGCTGATCATTCCACTGGGAGATGCTGTGTTTGGTAAAAAAGAAAAAGAAAACAAAAGCACAAACTGCACAAAATTGCCAAACTACTTCCCTACCTTGATACTGGGTTCCTCACCATGTCGGTCCATGTGCTGGCAATCTCAAGATTAGATTACTGTAATACCCTCTATGTGGGGCTGCCCTTGGGACTGCTACAGAGACTGCAACGGGTCCAGAATGAAGCAGCTAGACTTCTGAGTGGGGTTAGAAAATACCAACGTATCTCCTCCACACTGGCTGCCTTACACTGGCTACCTGCTCGCTTCCGTACCAGTTTTAAGGTGATGGTATTAACTATAAGGAACTAAATGGTTTGGGACTTTGATATCTGGCTGAGCGCCTCCTTCCAGTTAGGTCTGCCCATCCTATAAGATCATCACAGGCAGGACGGCTGAGACTTCTGACCCCGAGAGAGGCCCAGAAAACAATGATTAGAAATAGGGCCTTCTTGGCAGTAGTGCCACAATTATGGAACTCTTTTCCACCCAAAGTCTGCCTGGCCTCTTCACTAGGCACATTCAAAAAGCTACTACCATGTTTTCCCCCAAAATAAGACAGGGTCTTATATTAATTTTGTCTCCGAAAAATGCATTAGGGCTTTTTTTCAGGGGATGTTTTATTTTTTTCATGTACAACCATCTACATTTATTCAAATACAGTCCTGTCATCTTCTTCTGGTTGCT